TTCTTTTATATATATATATATAATTGACATTGACACTAGTGGTATTAGACTATAACTAATAACAAATTAGTTTAATTTAAAAATGTTTTCACGTCTCTCGAGTTGTAGGCACCTGTAGAATGATACAGTCTTTATTTCCCTCTTTTTTTATAATCGACTAAAGTCCTTGATTCTTAATGTGCAACATTCTTTTTTCCTTTTCTGTTTTGTGAACTTTTAAACAGTTTTCAATTAATTTCTTGCCGTCGACTCTCGAAGCGCCTGCCACACGGCGTGCCTTTGCGATGACATTAATGTATGGGACAGGAAGTGGAAGTGGAAGTGGAAGTAGGCAGTAAGTAGGCGAGTGTGTGAGATCGCCTATCCGATCCATGATTTGAAAACATGTCGCGGTGAAAGCTTAAGCTCATGTAAGTTTAATGTCTCCGCAGGAGTAATAGAGTACGGGGTTGTAGTTTGTCTTTAATGATACAGCGCGAGTGGGAGTGTGCATCAATTATTTTGAGGTGACCCAGATCCTGGAATAATTATGTAAACTTTGAACCACAAGTCTCGCGTCTTCATCGATCCGTGCAAGACACGGCTACGCATATTTGCATCCTTATTGAGGAATCATTTGTCATCTTCACGTCTCCTTATTCGGACGTCCTTCGAAAAAACGGTTGAGCGTGGGGCTTGTCAAAAATTTATTTATGCAACTACCACTTAAAAAGCACACTAATCGACAGCTGAGTAGCGTACGCGAAAACACGGACGCTAGAGAAAAAAATTCCACCTTTTTTTACACTTGCAAGTTTGTCTATACGCTTAAAAGCAATTCGGATGTAGTGTTTGCGTAGGTCGTAGATACATGTACCATATATCAAATTAAACGTCTCGTCCATTAGCAAAAGTGCGTGGTTGTATCAAATGAGAGATATACATGTGCAGAAAACTGAAAAACAATGAAAAAATTCATGGCTACACCGTCCATATGACTAAAGATATAGAGAAATAGTTTGATTAAATCATCGAATGAGACTCTAGGTCTTTCATAACAAGACTAATATCGCGCTTCTGTTTATTAATAACGATATTCTATTGATATATGTGAATACAATAAGCAAAGGTAAAACAAAATTGCTCTGTGCTCGCTAACGGTTAATTACGAAATTCGAAGAAGATTGTTAAAGGTGGTGCACGTTTGGAGCACGGTGCTGTGTGAAACGTGGACGGTGGGAGTCGCGGAAAATAAAAGGTTAAGCACGTTTGAAATGTGGTGTTACAGGCGAATGATAAGGATACCGCGGACGGAGAAGGTATTATAAAGAGTAGGAACGCAGAGGGCGCTATGGAAGTCAATAGGAAATAGACGAGGTAGATTTGTAGGACACCTTCTTGGAAATGATGGGATAATTAGAGACATATTAATACCAGAAACTGGAGTTAAGGAAGAATAAAGGTAGACTTAGATTATATTACTGTTCACACATAGTGAAGGATGTAGGATGTTCCAGTTTTAAGGAAATGCGAAGATTAGCTCAGGATTGGAAAGAGTGAATGTGCGTGTCCTATCAGTCTTAGGACTGACCCCATGGTGATGATGATGCTTATGATAATCTGTGGTTCTAACATAAGTACAGGCTTGTAATGATAATTTTTAAGGTTCTCTATTTTCATGATGGTGATATGCCTCATGGGTTTAGGCCAGTTTATGACGAGAGAGACTGATTTATAATAATGTGAAGAGAAATTGGATGAAAATTAGAGCAATATTAGGAACCACGATTCTTAAAACAATTATAAGGAGAAGACAGAGGTGACCTTAACTAAAATGGAACCAATCCTGAAGAAATATAGTATAGTATAAGACTAAATAAAAATAGAACAAAGATAATGTTGTGCAAGCCATGTAAAAGTAGGGTAAGAGCTAACATTAAAATAGGAGAAGAAGACTTAGAACTCGTTGATTTTCAATGTGTAGGATATTCAAATAACTATTAACAATAGAAAACAAAGCAAAAGTTTTATAGGTGTGTAGAACGTTAAGTTAATTCACTTGTTATTATTTTGGCTAAATAAAGCATATTCTTAAATTTTAACGAGGCAGTTAAAATAATTTTGCAAATGGTACTGTACACTTTTGTATAGCTCTCGCTCGATGATCGGTGAAGTAACGAGCTAAGCAGACAAATATGATTGAATGATGAATAAAGGGAAGGGGCATATCTCCAACTTCTTGAAACGAACAGTACCTACCTTAATTTTTTTAAATTTGAAGGTCAACTCAAAGAAAGTAAATATGGGGCCGTAATTTGCGATCGGAGTAATCTGTGGATTTTTCTCCTTGCAATTAAAAAGTTTAAATCTTTGTGTAATTTATGAAAGAAACGAAGTTTCCTCTTCGCTAACAAAGAACACTAATTTTAAATTCTGCTTCTAAAGTTCCTGGGGTCGTTCCGGGACTAAGTTGCCCGGACACGTTGCCTCCAGTTCGAGATCAGCGGGAGGAAAAGTTGGAGAACTCCAGCATGGAAATTAAATCCGGGAAAGGATTTCTTGTCAGGATTTAACGCTACCCGCAATTATCAACAGCCACAAATGAAGCATAAATTTAATTTCAATGAGTTCGTTAAATTGAGCGCAATTAACATATCGTACATCCCCTACTTTAGCATACATAAGAACTCCAATGTTGCAAATTGTCTTCAGTTAATGTTCACTTTGCAGCAAGTATCTAATCTAAATTCGACAAGATGTACTTATGAAAGACAACAAATTGTAGACCCAAAGCCTACTGTATACAAATTAAAACATAATATTTCTGATGTTGTAAATTGTATTTAGTTATTGTTCACTGTGTGCCAAATTGTATAGTACGGGTGCGAAATGTCGGCGCGATATAGAAAAAAGTTGGAAACGTTCGAAATGTCGTGTTGCAGGCGAATGATGAGGATATCGTAGATAGAGAAGCATAGAAATGATGAGGTATTGAAAAGAGTAGGAAAACAGAGGGCGCTGTGGAAGTCAATGAGAAATAGACGAGATAGGTTGGTAGGACATCTTCTCAGGCATAAAGGGCTAGTTGCAGACATAGTAGAAGCAGAAACAGGGGTCCAGAATAATAGATCTAGACAATTTTTACCATCTTCATCTTAAGGTCGTCAGTCCTACGATTGATTGGACACGTACCTCCACTCCTTCCTATCCCGAGCTAATCTTCGCATTTACCTAAAACTAGAACATCCCACATCCTTAACTTAACTTAACAGTAATCTAATTTATATCTACTTCTACTCGTTTTAACTCCTGTTTCTGCCTTTAATATGTCTCTGACTAGACCGTCATGCCTGAGAAGGTGTCCTATCAACCTATCTCGCCTATTTATTATTGACTTCAACAGCGCCCTCTGTTCTCCTATTTTTTCTAATACCTGTTCATTTCCAACCTTCTCCATCCACGATATCCTCATCATTCGCCGGTAACACCACATTTCGAACGCTTCTAACCTTTTCTATTCCGCCGCGGCCACCATCCATGTATGGCACCCGTCAGATTATTCTCGAAGAGGGGAAATCTTCAAGAGACACCCCCTGAAGGGAGGTAGTGTCAGATTTTTACTGACTAAAACCCCTTCTCGAATGGGGAGATAACTTCGTTAACTGCGCTATCCTCTGCTTTATATCCCTACTACTCCTTCCTAGATACCTAAAATCAACCACTTCTTCTAATCTTTCGTCTCCTATCTTTACATTAGCTCTTTCCGTACTTTTTCTTCCCTTGCATTCCAGTATTTTTGGACAATTTGTATAAAAACCTTTTTTATCTATAACTCAAAACCCACTTTACGAATTACACTCGTTTATAAGAACAATATGAGAAAGACTGTGACGGATATAAGTAGGACCCAATTCTAAGTTGAAGTGAAGCCTGAATTTAAGCTCCAAATACATACACTTAAAGAATTTTATAGGCAACTTAGTATAACACTGCAGTTAGTGCGTTTGCCAAATAGGACAAAAATAAATTCGTTTTCTCCTTTTTGTTGCAGAACTGGAGAAGAGGACTTCTCTGGCAGCGCAATCGTGCAGCAGCGCCGAGCCAACGCTGTATAGTAGCAGTGTCACAGAGCTGGAGGAACTCCAGGAACTGCTGCACTTCCCAGAAGAGGTTGCACTGCGCTTGGCAGATAGCGAATATCGGTTATTTTATCAGGTAAATTTTATATTATTATTGGTCTAAATCTTCCCATCCACTTTATCGTATAAAAAGCAGAAACTGTGTGAAATTGATGATCCATTCTGCAGTAAAAACATCCATGGGACCCCCACGTGACTTTCTTTTATCACAGAAAAATAGCAAAGAGGCTTCAATTAAACTTTGAATATGACAAGGCATTTATATTTTAAATTTTATAAACTGTCTGCTAAATTTCAAAAAGAATAATATAAAAAGAAATTCAATAAACAAATTAACATGAAATCATGAGAGACTGCATAATCTCAAAACATAACAGAATGTTTCAAAGTGATGTGAAAGAGAGAAGTTGATGAAAATTTGAACAACATTAGGAACCACGATTCCTAAAACAATTATAAGGAGAAGTCAGAGGTGACCTTAACTAAAATGGAACCAATCCTGAAGAAATATAGTATAGTATAAGACTAAATAAAAATAGAACAAAAATAATGTTGTGCAAGCCATGTAAAAGTAGGGTAAGAGCTAACATTAAAATAGGAGAAGAAGACTTAGAACTCGTTGATTTTCAATGTGTAGGATATTCAAATAACTCAAGAGGGATGGAGTGGTACAGATATGGTATAGCGCAGAGTAGTCTTTAACAAAAAGAAATAACTTTTATTCTCGCGAACGATCAATTCAGAAATTCGAAAAAGATTGTTAAAGATGTATGTTTAGCACGGCGCTGTATGACTGTAAATCATGGTGGACTCTGGAAAAAAGAAATGGTTGGAAGCCTTTGAGGTGTGATGATGGTGGTGATATGCCCTAAGGGTTTAGGCTAAGTTATAATGAGAGAAAACTCCCTCATTGGCTTGTGCGAAATAGTATGACCCAGAGGACTTAAATTAGGTTATGGTGACAGAGGACTTCTTAATAGGCTTATGTAAAGTGTTTTGTAGCAAGGGTCGGGGTTAACCTATGGCACCTAGAAAAGGTTTTCCTCAATCACATGGGTGAACTCCTGTGTACTATACGCTTAAGTAAGGTTATGATGCTTGACATATGTAAAGTGGTGCGCACCAGGGATGGGCATCGGCCAAATTTGAATGGATTCAACTAGTACGAATTAATCACGCATTAGAAATTGTTGTTTTTTTTCTATAATGACACTTATAGTAGATAGTTTGTGATATCGATTTTATTAGGTACTGAGCGAAATGAACCCAATAAATCACTAGTTGTGGAAAAGCTGATAGCTTATCGGTAACAGTTATTTCCCTCCATTATTCTCTCACACATGAAGGGCTAATTAGAAGCATATTAGAAGCAGAATTAGAAGTTATGAATAGTAGATGTAGACCTAGATTAAATTATTGTTCATAAGTGTTGTGAATGTGGAATGTTCGACTTTTAGAGAAATGCGAAGATAAGATCAGAATAGGAATGAGTGGAGGTGTGTGTCCAACCAGTCTCAGGATTGACGACCTTATGATGAAGATGATGATGATGGTGCAAGAACCTACACACTCAGGCATGAAGGGCTAGTTAGAAATATATGAGAGTAAAAACAGAGAATAAGAATATTAGAGAAAGGCCTAGAATAGACTTGATTTGAGATATTGTAGTTCTTGAGGAACTGCAAAAGAAGGGCTCAGGATAGGAAGGAGATTATGAGGACCCTATGATGGTGATTAAGTGTTATCCTAAGAATGAATGCAAGTGAAGAAGAAATATGTACGAATGACAAATAGAATGTGACGTTCCCAACATGTATAGGAACCCTAATCGATGAGTTATCAATTGGCAAAATTGTACACAGATAAAATTACAGCTACTGCAAAACACGAGCAGCCAAATTCTGTTTTGCAAATAATTTTGAACTATGCACCAAAACGGTTCAGTTTGTAAATCGCTTTATGAAACTTCGTTAATTACATTGCATGTGTAATGTCGCGTATCGATGCTAGAGAGTCAAACGTTAAATTAGCGATGACGAACCAACTAAGTAACGTCATTAGTGACTATGTTTCTTGGCTCGTTATGGAACACTAATTCAAACGAACGTGCATTTCGCTTTAATGAATTTGTACACACATTGTACTCATAACTCAATTTGGGCTGATTGTGATGCACGTCCGTTAACAAAAGCTCTACCTACCTGCCATCTAGTGAAACTGCTACGTATGGACGACTACGTCACGTTTGTCTGTTGCTCGACTTTGACCTGTCAATTTTGTAGATAAATGGCGATAGCCCAATTCCTTTGTTACACAGATAAATTTTCCAATAAGAACAACCTACAACAAAACATTTTGGTAACAAATGGAAATCTATCTTCTCATTACACTTTAAGAAACTAGGAGTCATTAAAAAAATGTCTTAAGAACTTTTTTAATAAACAATTTGATGAAAAATTAAACAAGAAAAATTATTAGGTTGGACCAAAAGTAAATGCCTCTAGCATTGTAAATTAAAATTATTATCCCCCGCTGTGTTACAACTTTGTATAGAAATGTTATTTAGGACTCAAACCAGAAATTTGGGGAAAACAGCAAGGCGCTGTCATCGCAATATCGTCATAATGTCATAACATGTTAAAGGCGGGCTGCTTTGATATTTGCTACTATTCGTTCTACCTCATTCTATTGTTAAATATTATTTTAATCCAATACCAAAAGGAAAACAATAATTTAATTATGAATAATAAATAGTTTAATAACACAATAATAATAATAGTAGTCTACCTTATGTACTATGTAATTGGGAAACGTAGAAAACAGCAGGGAATCATCACAGGATGAGTGAAGCCTCACCACCCTGCATTATTAGCTTCTTCGTGATCTTCAACTCTTCCTGGATTATCATTGATTACACTATTTAAATGGCCGTTATTAGATTTATACTTTATTTACATTCTCTAGCGATGTACCCCTTCCAATGTCTTGGATGCCCGCTGGCAAAATCGTAGGTAGGGAGAAAAAAAGCTCATTATACTCTCGACTCTTGTTCATTAAACATACTTTTTCATACAGTACCTGCCAAAAGTTTTGTTCAATCATGAATAGTAGTGCGAGTCTAAAACAAGCGTTAAAGCCTTTAATATGTCTTCAAATATAAATAAACATCCCGCTGATATTTTCAGTAGTAAATGGTACCAATAACAGCACATTTGAGCAATGGAATTGTAGTGGATAAAATGGTCAATTTTTCTGTGCGGTACTGTACGGATTATACGCTTCTCACCGGTTAAGAGTTTGGCCGAGAGTTGTCTCCTTTCTTTTCTGGCCTAGTGCTGTTCTTTTCTAATTTGCGCCGGTCAAACTGAAGGTCACATCGCTACAGAAAGTAAACGAAGTATATATGTATTGCATATGCGTTTGTATTTGCTTCTTTGATTTTTAATTTCTCTCTGCAGTTTTATATGGCAAGCGTTAAAGTATTTAACAAATCTAAACCAATATTCCGCATTCGTCCGGTCGAAATAAAGTTGTATTTCTCTGGTGTGCAGTAATTAGATAATGCAATATTTTAATTAAAAATTACTACTATAAAATGCAATCTAATAAAGTTTTACTTCTTACGCGTGTACACTAATACACGCTCGTCTCTTTTTTTAGGCAGGAATTAATTAAAGAATGATACTAAAGAATTTTTTTAATTAGAAGCAACCAGTAAGGGGTGAAACGTTCTTTATTGATTATGTAATCTCTACCGGCGTNAAGCGAAACTTGAACACAGTAATATTTGTTTTGTTTTGTTCTCTTGTTTATGTGCCGAAAAACATTGTTTAACGTATTTTTTTGTCACAAATGAAATCAATAGTAAATTACCTTTTGTGGTATCATCTATGTATTATTTTGTTTGTAAGTCTTGAAGGAAAAACATAATTTGTTGTGCAGTTTCTACAGTTGCTTTCTACAGCTTCATGAACTGTCAGTCGACTACAGTTTTATGTCTCTCCAGTTTAAGTAAATCCACAATTTGGGAAACGTCACTCAAGATTCGAATTAGTACTAAGCTTATTTTGTATTCTCCGTGGTCACTTGGGATCACTGCGCTACAATGCCCCTGTCTTCAAGAGAAATTGCAGCATTTGGTCGGTCGATAAATTTTGGATTAGGAAAGAGGAACAATAGCAACACATTTTCTCCTTTGTGATTTGTTCAGTTCTCAATTAGTGTTTCAGTAAAGCTAATATTTTCGGCTAAGAGTGTGGTGGTCTACATAGTATTTCTTGCTGTTTCTTTATTGCTTGTTTCCTTGTCACTAACACAAAATAAAGTGTTATTGCCTAGTTCTAGAATTTTATTAATTTAATATTACTAGTTCAGAATAAGAAATGTATTAAACTGAATATTTTGGATCATCATTAGATGTCACGTAAATTACAGAAAATCGTTTCATCATTTTCATATTGAAATTTCTTTTTAGGCGGGCATAAATTAACGTAATAAAACAAATATTACTGTATTCAAGTTTCGCTTATTATATTGTAATGTTCGTGGGTTTAACAAAATTAACTTCTAATACTGATTTATTTCACTGCTATCACTGTCAATTTATTTCTGGATTCACTTCTGCAACGGTCAATTTATTTCTTCTACGCTCGGCGATCGTCTCTTCCTTTAAATACTCTTTTGTTTACTTTCGGCAGTCTTCTCGAAACATCCGGATAGTTTATTTTTTCTTTGAACTGTTTAACTGCTTTCCCAGAACGCAGGTACGACACACACATTTACAAATACGGCGCACATGAAGAAGGGCGCCCGCGGCTAGTCGGCAAATCGATAAACCGTTCACGCACACGTGTGCCCGATCGCACACAAACACGGCCGTGCTCGCTACAATACATTACCAAGACAAACACTAAAATGTTATGATCTTGGTTTTTTTGGTCGTTACTCATCACTATATTTTTATTATTATCTCAATACATGTGGGTTTTGCCTTCTGTCATATAAGTTAACTCACAACTTTGGCATTTCAAAGAACAATTTTGCTAACCATGTCCGCGTCATTAGAATCACATATCA